TATATATATATATATATATATATATATATATATATATATATGAGTGGTGTGGTGTTGTTAGAATTTTTCATACAATTATCGAACATTTAATTTTTATATTTAAAATATAAAAAATTTCAGGCTCCAAAGATTATACAAAAATTGCTTTTTGCAAAAAAAAATGACAAGTATAAAAGGGAAAGATTGGTGTATAACATTAGAGTTTAAATTAAGCAGAAAATAATTAAAATAGTTAGAGTTAAATATGGGTTATTTTCTGACATTAGTTTTAATTGTTAAGGTACACCGAAGACCTAAAAAAAAACGTTGCGGTTTAGAAAATTAATTGCACCTGATATAAAATGAACCTCATTCGTTTTACCTATGCACTTGGCACTAGTTGTTCTGAAAAAAATAAAGTATTTTTCTTTTCAAATCCAAAAAGTCTAAAATCAGGAAACATTTTAAAACAATTTACTTTGACCTTACGGAAAACACGGTGCTCGTGCAACTCCTTGTTCAAAAGTCTAAATAAATTTATTGTGAGGGGAGTCACAAAACAACACAAGTAGGATACAACACCTACAAGGATCGACTTCAAGACAATCAACCAAATATACTTTACCAATTTACCAAAAGAAATTCACCACTATATTAACCAAGCTCAAATCAGCAACACATCAATTGAATCACAAGCAAATATGAATTATAAATACGCAAGTGACACACAAGATTTATACGTGGAAAATTCCTTCGGTATGAAGGATAAAAACCACGGGACTTGAAGGAGTCCACCCTTCTTCTTCTCTTATTATGCAAATTGAGGGTAAAAACACCCAAATCAGTTTACAAGGATGTCACAGCCCACCAACAACAACATACATAAGAGCCAACACAAAAGAGAAGAGAAATTGAGAAATATCACCAAAAAAATGCAGGTTACGCCAGCTGCGATAACAGACGATCAAGAAATCCGATTGACGATCTGAACGGTCAAGATGTAGTGCTATGTGTTGTGAACCAGCTGTGAAAATTTCAGAACGATCCAACGGTCGGATCTCTTGCAATCTGAAATTTTGTCTCACTGTCCAGAAAAAACCAGCAACCCTTTTCTCTCTCAAACCCTCTCTCTATTTCTTTTTTTCTCTTCCAAAACAAAAAACCCCAGCCCCAACATCAGCTGCCCAAGACTTCTAGAAGAAGTCAACAAAGCCCAAAATATATGGGCCACCCATCAATGGGCTGGACCCTTAACATTTATATCTGCGTATTTAATTTTTCTTCATAAAAAATAATTAATCATAATTTCATTTACAAATATCATCGATAGAAAAAGGTAAATAATCAGAAAAAGTAAGTCTAACCATACATGTTCGCACAACAGGTAAGACTTACTCAAATGATTAATCATAGACAATATTGATTGATATATTATAGGGTACGAGTTGTGTTGGAGGGTCTTGAGTAGTGAAACAAAAATGCGTTTGATATTTTAAAATAGGAGTATGTATATTTTTCATGGTGAAGCCTTTTTTTTTTGGTTATTAGAAAACATTTCCAGAAAATACATCTTTTATCAACAGCAAAAAAATGTTTTTTTTCCTTTTAATATCTCAACTCTAATTCCATGTTACTTGATCCAACTAATGCGTAGTCGTTATTACAAATCTTTAATGGAAGTACAATAATTTCTCATCAGCATGTGACTTTTGCAGAAAAAATTGGCATATGGTGAAATTTCCAGGCAAGTGCACAAATAGCGGTCTGTTACATAGAAAGTCGACGTACACCGCTCAAGTTCTATATTAAAATTTATCCCTTTTTCGTTTTAATTTATTTGTCTGATTTTAATCTAACTCATAATTTAAGAAAATAAAATAAAATTTAAATTTTATAATTTTAAAATAAAGATATGTTCATTGGAATGTCAATCTTATAGTTATAAACATATCGATAAATTAGAATTAAAAAATCTGAAAGAAAACAAGAAAAACAATTTCTATGTAACGTATTTAAATTATTTTTTTTAAAAAAAAAGACAAATAATTGAAATGGCAAGAGTAGTGAGTGGGCCAATGTTTCTTGTAGTGAATATCTGAACCTAAAATAAAGATAAAGCCCATGAGAAAGAACAGGCCAGGCCCAATATTAGTTGATGAATCGGTAGGAGCAAATCTCTGTGTAGGAGATAAATGATCAAAAAGACAATAGCAAGCAGGAGTTCAAATCTTCACCGACAATCATCACTATGGAGCAAATGCAAAGATCTCCAATCCCTAAAGCAAATTCATGCTTTGATGATCATCAATGGCTTCAACTCCAATCGCATTGCTCTCAGGGAGCTCATATATGCTTCTGCTGTTACTTTTTCTGCATCTATACACTATGCCCACAAGCTGTTTGCTCAAATTACTCAACCAGATCTCTTCATGTGGAACACTATGCTTAGAGGCTCAGCTCAGAGTCACAGACCTTCTCTTGCTGTTTCCGTTTATACCCACATGGAAAAACGTTCCATACGTCCGGATAGTTATACTTTTCCGTTTCTACTCAAGGCATGTACCAAGCTTTCTTGGCTTGTTTCTGGCCTTGTTGTACATGGGAAAATTGTGAAACACGGGTTTGAATCTAATAAGTTTGCGAGGAATACCCTTATATATTTTCACGCTAATGTTGGAGATATAAGAATAGCAGGCCAACTTTTTGATGGTTCTGCTAAGAGGGACGTTGTTGCTTGGTCTGCTTTGACGGCTGGATATGCGAGAAGAGGGAAATTGGATGCGGCAAGGAGGCTTTTTGATGATATGCCGGTTAAAGACTTGGTTTCTTGGAATGTGATGATCACTGGGTATGTGAAGCAAGGGAAGATGGATAATGCGAGGGAGTTGTTTGATATTGTGCCAAAGAGGGATGTTGTGACTTGGAATGCCATGATTTCCGGATATGTGCTTTGTGGAGAAAATGAGAAGGCTTTGAAAATGTATGAAGAGATGAGAGGTGCAGGGGAATACCCTGATGAAGTCACCATGTTGCACCTTTTATCCGCTTGCACGGATTCAGCATTCTTGGATGTTGGCGAGCTGATACATCGATCAATTATTGAGATGGGTGCAGGCGAGTTAAGCGTATTTCTTGGTAATGCACTTGTAGACATGTATGCTAGGTGTGGCAGCATTAGGAAGGCACTTGAAGTGTTTCAAGGCATGAAAGAGAAGGACGTGTCGTCTTGGAACATAATTATATTAGGATTAGCTTTCCATGGTCATTCTGAAGAATGTATCTCTCTTTTTGAAGATATGAGGAGAATGAAGTATATCCCTAATGAAATTACTTTTGTTGGTGTATTAGTTGCTTGTAGTCACGCTGGTAAAGTTGATGATGGCCGAGAATATTTCAGCATGATGAGAACTGACTACAATATTGAGACAAACATAAGGCACTATGGTTGTATGGTGGATATGCTAGCGCGTGCAGGACTATTGAATGAAGCGTTTGAGTTCATAAACACGATGGACATTAAACCTAATGCTATTATATGGAGAACACTGCTAGGAGCTTGTAAAGTTCATTCCAATGTCAAGCTGGGAAGGTATGCGAATAAGCAGTTGCTTAAATTGGGAAGGGAAGACAGTGGGGACTATGTCTTGCTGTCTAATATCTATGCATCGAGGGATGAATGGGATGGTGTTGAAAGGGTGAGGAAGTTGATGGATGACAATGGGGTTTGGAAAGAACCTGGTTGTACTTTAATTGAGGCTGATGATTATGATCTCAAGAATTTTTATTTCGATTCCAAGTGTAAACACTCTTGAGAATAAAGCTAGCAGGCACAAGCAGAGAAGTGAGCAACCAAGCTTAATGCCAAACTTGGTAAGCGTGAAGGTCCATCCTCTTGGGAGGGTACAAAGACGATGTCTTTCATCCAACTCTTCCGTATATTCACATCATGAGCCACTGTAGTTCATTAGACGTGTAAATTGCAATTCGGATTTGTGGTCATTGTATGCCTCATTTAGACATTTTGTTGTAGTCTTCGTTGGTGCACACAACATTAATTTATATTTGCAGCACCAAATAAAATTTATAGCTTGATATATGGTCCTAAGCTTTATACAGAAACTTGGTGTACTTGTTGAGTTTCAGCAGGAAGACAGTTGTCAAAGTAATAACAGAACAAATGCAACATCAATTTTATTGATTGAGAGGAAGAATCACTAAAACAAACAGATTTAATAACAGCTTGAAGGAATAAATGGCAAGAATCATTCAAAAATTCTTGGAATATCAAATGATAAAACGCGTTCTTTCTTCACGCAGGAAGTGATCAATGATCAGTTTCTTGAAAGGGCCAGAGCTGACAATATGATGAGCAGCAAAAACACAAGAACTCCAATGAAGGATCCAACCAAAGAGCCAGATGCACGATCGCAGAAAGAGTTGTAGTGCTGGCAAATAGCAATCCAATTAGCACGAGCATTTCCCTTGTGTGCCAAATACACTATGGCTGCCGCAGCTGATGCTCCAGATGTTAAAAATGCCATCATCACCGTATCAAAGAAGATCAACACAACCCTTGTTATTCTTGCACCACTCATCACAATGTGCAAAATGGATAGGACAAGAGATACAGCGAGGTACGCGCTAACTATGCCATTAGCTACCACAAAGAACCTGTGAATTTTCATAAACAATAATGAGTAACCTGGTCAAAAATTAAAACTGTAATATACTTGTTATCATATGTTAAACTACACCCATCTATGCTAAAGTACAGTAATAAGTAAGACAGACAACCTGCGTACAGTAATAAGTAATATATTTATACTGTTGGTGTATATGAGTTATGTCACAAACAAAAATATAATAGTAATAGTGTTTTATCTTACGTAAAAGTAGGAAGGTCCTTGTACTCAGCCTTAAACCTAATGAACTGCTCGAAAGAGGGAAGGGTTTCATTAGTTGTTCCCATGGCAATTGCACTTCCTAAGGTACCTAAAATGGCAACAATTCTCATAATAAAATCAAGAAAAGAAATTCCTCTGTTCCCCTTTGGCTTTGAATCTTTTGAATCATCTCCAGCTTCACTACCACCCATTTTCTCCTTGATTTATTTATTACTTTGCTATATACTCTTCAACGATTTCAATGTTTTTATGAACTTTTGTTGTGGTACACTTAGCGCAATACTAACATGGTATTTATACTAGGAAAAAATTCTGTTAATTTCGAACTGTACAATCAGGAATCCACTATAAAGACCAACGTAAGCCAATAAGTAAAATGGTTGGTTTTGAAAATCCTAATTCGTCCCATTGGTAGGTAACTATACATTACTGTTATTAATTAAGTTAAAGCCAATATGCTAGGTTTTTTTAATCATTTCAATTAATATGGATTTAATTTGTCCATGGTTTTGGCTCTTAGAAATAAGTATTAATAAAGAGTAGAGTTGCGACTATTAAGGTGTGAACTATATCTCCCTCCGTTCAACAATATTTGTCCACTTTATGAAATAAATGAATAATTTTACACTTAGTTCATAATTTACTCTATAATTAATTATACTTATTTCTCTATTATATTTTTCAAAATATTGTATTTATTACTATATTCAAACGGTAATATAGTAAACTATCCTTCTATTTATAGTTTCTTAACAAGTGTGCAAAATCAATACTGGACAATTATTGTGGACAGGGGAGTACTATATTAACTTTATCGACTTCTCTTACTTGCATTTATGTTTTCCTAGATATTGGAAAAATTAAGTAAGCGAGAACAGATCGGAAGAAATCACCAAGTGTTTTTTTTTCGAAAATTGAACTTGAGATGTTATGGTGCTTAATCTACAGGATTGACTACTTAGCCACACCCAAAAAATTGAACTTGAGATGTTATGGTACTCAATCTACAGTATTGACTACTAAGCCACACTTTTAGGTGCTAATATTTTTACATTTTAATTCATTAGTATAGGAGAGCAAATTGAATAATTAGGAGAAAAGGCATTGGGTATATTAGCAGATGAATAAGCACAAAGAAAAGAGTCAATTTCGGTGTGACAATATAATGTAGCGTCGTATTTAAATTTTTAAAGAAAGATCAGCAGAAATAGTCATAAGAGCTTTTGACTATGTGATCAATAGTCAAAATACGTTAGGTGCTAAACTTGCAAAGGACTTGAAGTGAGATTGTACCTACATCTAATTTGGAAAGTATATACATTATTTTTAGGTTTCAAAGCTACAAAAGGTTAAACACCATCAAAGTCCTTGTCCTCTTTTGTGATTTACACATTTTTTACTTTCCTTTTATGATTTGCATCCTATTTTCTTGTAAAATAACTAATTTTTTTAAAAAAAAAGATCGAGGAACAAACTGAAATACAAATAATAGTAAAAAAGAAATGACACGGAATTTAAAAAGGAATCAATAAAAAAAAAAGGACCATTTTAAGAGAGAGATTCATTGTAATAGCATATTAGGTCTTAGCACTGAACAAAATATAAATAAAATGGATATATGCAGTAACCTATAAAATAGTTATCGAGAAAGAGAAATCCGTGTGTGACCTGCTCTTTGGATCAATTACAGCCTTCTAAACTCGATGGATAATCTACCCTTCTCCACTTAAATTCCGAACTTCCCTTTGCATGATTTGGGGCTTGAAACTGCAACCTGACCTAAGTCTCCGCCTTTTGCCACCCTATTTTACCCAAACATTAATTGCATAATTAACTCTTTGTCTTCATCTATCCATATATTGCATGATTCTCCACTGTAACTCGAGGAGAGAAGTTGTCCCAACATCTGTAACCTGGGGTTTCTAACTCAGGCAAAGCTAATGTCCTCAATCTATCTATGAACAGATCTTGAACTGAAGTTTGACCATTTCATGATCACTTCTCCGAAAAGCCCCCGACATAAATATGGTCAATTGAGTGGGACTTGGAAGCTCATTTGGTTTGATAACGTAAGAGCAACTAGATCTCCTGATACAAACTACTACTAGGCTACTAGCATTTCATGTTCACTGATGTAACATGTAACCATGAACAGAACGATCAACCAGCAAATCAGGAGAAAGTAACGGCAGCCCAGCCCATGTGTCATCAACATACCTTGGATATCAAAGTTCACAGCAGACAACAGACAGGCATGGATAACTTTTCTGATTCACTCGTCTCACCATCATTGTCCCTGAAGCAAAAGCATTTGGTTTAAATTTTCAGCTTTCCACAAAGACAATATAACTCAGAAGCACAAGGAAACAAAGTGTATATCACCAAGTAAACCATAAAAAGAAGAAAAATAGTACGTCACTGAGTAAAGCATTTTAAAACCATTACATAACGATAGGGAAACCTCACAGAAACCATTGAAACTACACAAGAATATTGTCCTAACATGGTTTGGACCTATGTTGCTAGGACTATCCAAAAATATTGTTGCACCCGATCCTCAAAAAATGCACTAATTTTGGAGGATCCCATATGCACGTGATGACATTTTTGAAGATTCAAAACAACATAGGTTTAGCCACCATACCATACACAAATCCAATATAAGAGAGTCATTAGCTAGTTGAAACATTATGTATTGTTTACAGAAGTTGTAACCTATGTGGGCAATATATATATATATATATATATATATATATATTTATTATTTTATTTTATTTTATTTTTGGTTAAGTGACATTTTCATTGACAAACAAATATTTACAGTATAGTTCTGATAGTTATGGACAAACAGTCTCTCCTGCACCTGTTCTCTAGCTTCACTAACAACAATACATATATTAAGCCTAGGAAATATACACCTTAAGAAAAACAATACTATCAGTAACCATCTAAGGAAAACGAGAAATGTCTTGCAAGTTATCTCGCCATTTACCTGAATTCCGCCCTCTGATGTGCAAGTGTAACGCCATTTCTTTGATCAGTGCATCAACATGAATAGACTTTTGTTGAAATCTGCTTGAGTTCCTTGCTTGCCATATCAGGTAAACCACCATGGCAAATGCACAACTAGTAATCTCATCTACTCCACGTTTGCTCTTTGCTAGCTTGCATGCCCATGTAACCTCAACATTCCAGTCTTGAATCTGTCGTTTATATCCCGGCAAGCACATACTCAGACTCCACAAACCCCTTGTAATATGACATTCCAAAATATAGATGTGTGAAAGATTCCAGACCCTGTCCACAGAATACACAATCTGGTGGCAACAAGAGGGAAACCATGAATCTAAGGTCAAAACATAGTACATATTATGCTCTTTGACAAATTGTGAGTCCACAGGGTGAACTATCAAACTGACAGATGAAAGAGGAACTTCTGCATATTCAGTCTCGATGGCAATCTTAATCTCAACACTATCAAAAGGGCCCTCTTAAGTTTGTCACCACAGCCAAAAGCACATTTCTGAAAATGAAGCACCACTTTGTGTCTGGATAATGTCTCACTAACAGACAGTTCCTTAGAGAGCGGGAACGAAACGAAACAAAATCAACCATTTCTAGCTCTAGTTATGGATGAGCTTCTCCCAATTATGTATGGTAATAGAATAGGGATAGAACGAAACAAGGGGCGTTGTATGAAAGTTTCCAAGCAGAGTTGTGAAGCAATTGAGATGCATAGAGAATAGATGGTAGGGTTCCAAACCTCGCCTTGCACTGCGCTTAAGCGAAGCTAGTGGTCACTCGTATCTCTCTTGTTCAAAAGAGCTTCAGATTGGATTCAACACTATATATGATACTCCATTCTGGCCCTCACTAGTTCTCTCTTTGACAAATCAAGCAAGACAGATGGCAACAAGTGGGGCGTCTGAAAATGAAGCACCGCTCTGTGTCAAGGATAATATCTCACTAGTACATAGTTAGAGAGCAGATGTCCAGTTGAGCACCCATTAGTATCTGCTCCAACAAGTGATTTCACCATACTTCTCCTCAAAGCATTTTTTTACATTAGCTAACAATTCGCTAATGTCAAAATATCAAATATAGAAGAGGGCTTACCCACTGAAACTGCAAAAAGCAGAACTCATGAAATGGAAGAAATTGATGGTCATAAACTTCAGTTGGCTCAAACAACAAGGAGGTTAAAATTTGTCATCAGGAATGAAACCCCTCTGCAGCATTTTATCATGGAAATGAAAAGCCTCCTTCTAGTTATCCTTAGAGACATGTCCATATATCAATGATGTATATGTGGATCTGTCGGGGTTAATACCCCTCTCAAATATTTTCCTATACAGCATGTTGGCTTCCTGCATTCTACCAAATTTACAGAAACCATCCAGTATGGTATTATAGCTAATAACATCAGGTAACAGACCTTGATTTCCCATTTCACTAACCAAATCTAAGGCTTTATATATATTCTCCTCTCTTATAAACCCATCAAGAAGAGTATTGTACGTAATTGAATCAGGAAATAACCCTTGGGACTGCATCTTGTTCCGAAACTTAGCTGCCCTTGAAGCATCACCAGACCTGCAATATCCCTTGATAATAGAGTTGCAAGTCGCAATAGTAGGTTTTGATAACTAGGATAATCATATCATCCCACAGTCTTAATGCATCAGATACACGACCGTTATTACAAAAGCCATTTATGAGAATACTATATGTAATATAATTAGGAGAAATGTTTACAGAGATCATCTCATCCCTTAACCTGAAAGCTTTTTCCATATCACCAACCTTACAGAATCCATCAATCAAGCTGTTATACGTCACAACATCAGGCTTGAGGTTTCTCAGTAGCATGGCTTCAAACAGGCTCTGTACTTTGTCCATGTTACCACACTTGCAGTATCCATTGATAAGTGTGGTTGAAGTGTAAAAATCAGGATTTACATCTCTTTCAACATCTCATTGAAAAGCTCATCAGCTTCATGAAGCATATTTCCTTTGCATAATCCATTCAAAATAGTATTGTAAGTCACCACATCCATAACTAAACTCTGCTCCAGCATTTCATCCCGCATCTTCATAGCCTCCTTCATAGAACCATTTCTACAAAACCCACCAATGAGAATTGTGTAGACTACATTATCTGGTTTAAGACCCTTGTGTCTCATATGCTCATAGTATGCCAATGAGCGGTCGATATGACCAGTTCTTGAAAACAACCCAATAAGAGAACTATAACTAACTAAATCAGGGATGATAGCTCGACACGCCATTTCTTTAAAAACAGATTCTGCTTCCTGCACATCACCAGTTTTACAGCACTCAGCAAGCAATGCATTATAACTAGCAGTATCAGGGGCCAGTCCAGTGTCTTTCATCTCAACCAAAAGTTCCCTTGCTCTTCCGTATTGTCCATTCTTACACAAACCATTGAGAATAGAATTATAAGTTAAAAGACAAGGTCTTAACCCCGTAGCTTTCATAATTTTTATCACTTCATAGGCTTCTTCAAGAAGCCCCTCGTGACAATATGCACTTATCCGGTAAAGCATTCACCATTATACTTTCAATTTTCCCATCTTTACATAAAGCATTCACCATTATGTTGAGGGTATACACATTTGGCTGAATGCTACTCCCTGTCATCTCATTATACACTTCCCATGCCAAGTCAACCCAACCAATCTTCACAAGCCCTCCTAGAAGACCATTACACGCATTTATCTGAACACAAAGATTCCTCCTTTGCAACAACCTAAAATACTTCTACAGCCTCCCTAATCTTCCTAGCTTGTACATAAGTCCTAATCAGCAAATCAAAAGCATATGCATTCGACCCAAATACCCCATAAGTTGACACCACAGATTCCACAATCTCAATTCTTGAAACCCCACTTCTTCTGATCATCCTTAAGATAAAACCCTGTGCATCAGCTACCCTCTTTAACCTAATCAACACATGTACAGTAGCAGTCAATGACCTCGAGCAATGTTTGAAATTAGGACAATTTACAGAAACCAAGTTAATGAATTTCTGTGCTAAATGCAAATTATCACGACAATTAACCAGAACTTCAAGAAAAGTAGACGGGTTTAAACCATGTAAAGAATTGGTTATTGACTTGCCTTGTTTAAGGTTCCACAAGATTTTCTGGACTAATAATGTGTCTTCAGATGGTGGGGTTGAAGAGCCATTTGCAAAGTGTTGTGGTTCAGAAATAGGCGAATTTTCTAAATGGGTCGAGTTTACAAGTGAAGCACACGTTGTTATGCCTCTAACGGTGGATTTGTGAACATGTAGGTGTCGTGCTGCTGCCATGGGAAATTGGCTTTTTGGGACTGCCCTTCAAGTGTGGAACTATATATATTTGGCTCCTAGTTTTCCCATGCCCAAGAGAAAATGGAAGGACTTTGTTTTATTTTTGCAGAATGATTAATTAATAGGATGAATGATTTATTTGCATTGAATTTTTAAAATAGGATTTCTTTTTTGGCCTAAAAATATTCTTTCTATTAAAAATATGAAAAAGCTTTGTGAATTTTGTTAGGATCTGTAATGCGTAAGCTAGCAAAGCAAATTTTAAAAGACCAAGTAAGAAGACAAACGAGAAATATATCAAAATACATAAAGATTTAATGTGATTCATAAAGGAGAGTAATCCACTATAAATATGACATTACAAAATACAAAGAGAAACAACCTCAATCAAATTACTCGAAATACATGAGAGACTCACACAAGTAATAACTTATCAAGCTTGTGACCCACAAATTCTCTCCCTAACCGCAAAACCCTTAAAGACTACGTTGTGAATACTTATTAATTTCTATTTATAAAATTCTAAACATTTTTCTATAAGAAAAAAGATTAGTCAATCCAAAGCTATATTCGAAAAGGGAAATATATTTATAATGCAATCATGACAAATAAAACCTAACATATTTATGAGCAAAGTGTCTGCTTCAATCTGTGTTTTAAGAGAGGATCTTCTGGTATTTGGTGTCCAAAAAGTGTCTGTTACGTAGTCGAATTCTTTGATACCATATCTATTGTAGATATGGTATCAATCAATTCAACCCTCTTTTTTTCATTTATGGGCTTTTCTTACAAACTCTTTAATGGGCCTCTCCACAGCATCCACAAACCCAATCTTTAATGGGTTGCGAGTTTATAATAGAGCCCATTTTGAGCACTGGGGCTAGTCTATTGGGCCTTAATTTCGTAATCGTCTACTTTAATCAGAAATATCTATAGGTTGAGCCTGTTCTTATTTAGGTAATATCAAAATATTCGAAAATTAAGTCAACAGGGAAGTTTTGAGGATTAACAAGGAAAAATTAACATCAAGTTTTTTTAATTGATTCTGTATAATATTTTTGTTGCATTAGGTTAATTGCAATTTGCAATATAGCCTAACTTATATATGAATCTGCGTTTTTTTCAAAAAAAAAATGTCAGCTTATTTTAACCACTTATAAGAGGTATTATGCCTTCTGTTATGAGTTATTAACTTCACTTATCATGTGATGTTTCCTATAATTAATGTTTAGATGATTTGGTAACATATCGAGTGCATACATGTTGATTGTTAGGTCACTTTTTAAACAAACGTAATTAGACAAATTGATAGAATTTATATATTAAAAAAAAAAGAAAAAGTAAACGCTTAGAAATTCTGTACATTTGCGTACCTAACTCATATAAAATATCAAAAGAAAATGTAAGAATAAGTGAAATGACAAATATAGATAGCATCATTGTTTTGGTTTGATTTAAATAAAAACAAGACAGTTATAATAAATAGCCATATCAATACTTTCTCCATTTCATTTTAGTTGACTCTTACATCAAAATAAATATTCTCTTTTACTCGTCTAATTTAAAAAAATCAAGAGAATATCACTATAGATATTTTTTCCTTTCGACCCCCAAATATAAAATTTTTTAAAATGTCAATATTTTAGCATTTAAGAGGACTCATTAGCAACAATTTCAATATTTAGTAAAAATGTCATTTTAGTTTGTTATGTATATTTTTATTATTTATTATTTATTTTTATTTAAAGAATATAATTATTTAATAACAAAAAGGAGAAAATTAAGGGGGAAATATTTCAAAAAAAGGCAAGCATCCTTTATTTTATCATCAGTTACATTTTCAAATTAAATTTAAATTTTGTTTTTTTTTCTCCAGAATTTTACCTTTTTAAAATTATATTCATTCCAGAATATATTCTATTTATATTTATTATAGTTTTTTATTAGTTTGTATTCATTTCAATAGGTATGCCGAATTTATCTATATAGTCATTTAAGAAATATATTTGTATTTTCATATATTTTTTCCCTATATAGTTATTTTTTTCTTCAAAAATCCTGTATGCATTCATAATTTTGTATAATAATATATAAAATACAAAAAATTAGTATGATGAAAAAGTGAATGAAATATAAAATTGAAAAGAAATAATTGAATATTTGGTGTACTCATTCTTAAATAAAACACATAACTAGTTGACATACCTTTAGAATAAATACAAATTAGAAAAAAATATCAAATTCAGTTGACATACCTGTGTTAGTTTGTATTCATTCCAATATGTATGTCAAATAAAATGTAGCTATTTAAAAAATACATTTGTATTCGTATATATTTTCAGTATGTATTTATTTTTCTTTTCAAAATCTTGTTTCCTTTTCTAAGTCGTATTCATTCCAATATGTCTATTATTTGTATTTGTATTCGAATACAAATAAACTAATAGAAAGTTGTTCTTCTTATAAATAAAATACATAACTAGTTGACATACATTTGGATGAATACAAATTAGGGACAAATACAAGATCCATAAACCATGCAACATGAAATTTTTAATAAATATAAATATTGATAGTATACATAGTGATTTGAATACAAATTAAAGAAAGCATACCAAATTCTAAAAAAGAACTATAAATACAAAACAAACTAATACAAAATTGTTCGACAACTATCCGATCTTCGTCGTTTTTTTTAAGATCCTCACGAGTAGACAAAGATTCTACATTTGCGTTCTGAATTTGAGGAAGGTTTTGCACATCAATGAGTCTTGCAAATGTTCTTACCTTCTTTCTTCCCTCATTTTAGCAGCGGATCATACATTATACACTATTTGTTAAATAATAAATAAATTAAAGGATGAAAAGTCACCAGAAATTGATTGATTAAGATGAATACCTCTACTAAGCCTCTTGGATTCAGCCATTGGAGAGTAAATCATAACGGAAATTGAAAAATACAAACAATATTTTTTTAAGATTTAAACAAAAATAAAATTAGAAAAGAAATCTGAAAATAGGATAAAGATTAGAGATACCTTAATCAAAGAGATTCTTGTTGATTCAATTTTGGATTAAGAAAAGAACCAAAATATATGGCAAAAAAATATTTGCAACTTGAATGTTGGAGGAAAATCAGAAAAGATAACCATGAGAGAGAAAAAAAATTAAATGGGAGAGAGAATTAACAATTTGAAAAGATAAATATGAGAGAGAATGATTTTTTTTTCTTCTAAAAAAAAGGATATATAGAATTAATTGAAAAAGAGAGATAAAATAGGAAGAAAATTGGGACACATAAATTTTTTAAAATAATGACATTTTTGACATTATTGCTAATATTTATAAAGTATGGATATTTTTACTTATTTATTTTGACTAGTTTACTAATTTTTCCAATATAAATAGTAATAGTCCAATTAGAGTTCCACCGATAAAATAATTAGTTTAGTAGAATAAATCCCAAATAAATTTTTTTATTAAGAATTGTTTCTAAAGTCTGAAAAGGTAAAAATCAACTAGTCCATCCGTCTTATTAATTTATTCAAAATATTTGTCTCTTATTACCTAATCACTTAATTAATACGAGTAAAAGGTAAAATAATAAAATTGATCATCGAATAAATAGAGTTGAAGGAGTTAAATGTAAAAGAAAAGCGTATTGGTTTTCCCAAGGTGAAGTTGACTTTGGCCCTTGAGAGAGCTGGATGGTTATTAGTTGTCTCTTTATTTATATTCAACCAAACAACTCTAATTGCTTGCTAAGAATACAAAACAAAGAGAAAATGAATCAGAACATGGTGTCGTTCTTGATCGGAATAGTTGGAGCTGCATTTACGCTTGGAGCATATTCACAGACATGGATGACTCCAACACAAAGCATAACAACAGGTCTTGTTACTCTCATGTTTGGTCTTCTCGTCCGTGAAGGTTTCATCTCCCTTTAGACTTTACTTTTTTTTCTATGTTTTGGGTGTCTGTAATAAATCATTTTACAGAGCTATATGTGGCTGATCCATAACTAATTTTATTATTTGCACTTCGATTGTGGTATTTATACATGCTTTAAGAATAAAGGTTTTTGGTAGATTTATCCTTCTTTTTTTTCCCGTTCAAATGGTAACTTACGATAGCATAGATTAATTTGTTCTAATTAATATTGTATTTTCATGACCAGACACAACTTCACCTTTAATTTTTTCCACATCAAATCAAATCTTAACCAAACTACACCCGTGGAAATGCTAAAATGAAACTTTGGGAGAATTGTATCTTGGAAAATAAATTTTGAAAAAAGGAATTTAAAACTTCAAATTTTAGATTGGACTATGATTGTTACCAAAAATAAACCTGTTTTTGGCATATAGACAGATTAGGGATGGAGCTGTTTTTATCATCACTACTGGTTAATGTAAAACCAGTTGCACTCACCATCTTTTAAATTTTACAAAGGCACAAACATACAAGTTCGTTTCTTTTTTGTTACTTACTACTTCATAGTTCGTACTGCCGCAATTATTTATCTCACATCGCATTTATTAGTCAACAACGTTTCATGCTCCATGACCTAGTTATTGTGATGTATATGTTACCGTGATTGTGTCCGGTTGAGAAACCAAGAATTCCAGTTAGTGTTTGAATGTTAATGTGTATAAACACTAATTTTTAAGCTATACTTAATGTTGCACACAATTAATACTATTGAGAAAAAAATTTGCACATCTTTTGTCAAATTTCTGTTTCCCATCATTATCCAACGAAACATCAGTATCCGTAATGTTGGAATGTTAGGATTTTGAGTCATGTCAAATTAGATATCAGATTAGGTTTGTTGCAAACCTAGAAGCATCCGCTATAGCATGTATTTCTGTCGAACAAACTCTTAGCACATAATCCCTCAGATTCATTAGTAGATTCAATATTTGGTCTATGATCCAAAACATGTCGTATGTCCCTAACATCGATTAGGAAACCTTCATGAATCAACCGATAAATCCTGTTGAAGCCCATGAGAGATACTTTGTTCCTG